AGAAAAAAAAAATCCCCCGCAAAATTAAAAACTGATGGGGCTTCTATGTAATTAACTGGCAATTTCTCAGTTGCAAACCCCTGATTTGTAACCATGGCAGGTACACAAACTACCGGCTGCATTATACTTCCACTGTCTCCACCTGCCCCCATTTTTTCTGACAACACAGCACAGAAAACTATCTGAGCTGAAATCCCACTCTTATCAGCTTTCTTCTCCTTGGAGATTTCATAGCCCAACCCCCCCCCTTGCCTCTTTCTCCGATCACAACTTAAGTCTCTTCATCATTCTTGTTCTTTTGCCTTTTTCCCCAGGTACATCACAAAAATGTCATTCCCATCAGCACAAAAATACAATTTATGGACAACAAAATTAATATCAACAAATCTCACCCTATAATGTGGGCTTTGATGAAGGAATAGATGAAGGCCCTAATAGGTTTTAAAATGGCTTTAGAACAGATACACCGGAAATCAGTGTCATCTCTTCTCATATTTTCTTGAGGAAAGACTGACATTTTGGTGTGTGTGGTGGGGGAGGTACAATTTGGAAATGGTTATCCAAATTTAAAATAAATATAACTTTTATTTTAAGTTCAGGGGGACCTAAATTTGATGTAGCAAGTCACCATTTAGGAATTTCTCCTACGGATTTACCCTATGGATTCAATTAATCATGGCATTGTTTGACATGGTACACATAAATGGAAACAAGAGAGACTGATCTAAACATTATGGTATATCCATGAGATGAAATACTATGTATCTGTTAAAAAGAATAAAGTGGAGCTGATCTAGGGAGGAGAGAAGAGAAGCAGAGAAGAAAACATTTATTCATTTATCGGGTGAAACAATTCTATAAATCTCATCAGAGACAATAAATGGCAAACAACATACGTGGAAAGAGTGTTGGATGAAGTTCAGATACTTATTTCTGGAGCTGATCTAGAGCTGATCTAGACAGGTGTCTACACTCTCTTGTAAAGTGAAAGAAGTGACAGAACATGGGCTAGGGAGTTATCCTTTTTTTTTTCTTCCTTCGTTTTCCCCCCACACTAAGGAGGACCTTTGGCTTGGCTTCCCTTCCCTTTTCTCTTTCTAATCTGCACTCCTCCATATGCCACCTTAACAGACATATTTTAAAAACCTATTGAAGATGAGTCTTTCCCCAAGCAAGACAAGCAAGAAAAAGGCAGAAGTGCAGGAGAAAGTGGAAGAGCCCACGTGAACAGTTCTGAAGGGAAGAGAGTCAAGAATAACTTGGAAAGCAGAAGAAAAGGAATGGGGTGGGGGGAGCGGGAGCTTTAAGAAAACATTCTGTGTATTATGATGGAGCCACTGTTCATGTTTTCTGAGAGACCCTGGCGAAGGTTAGGATTACTGTTGATTTTCAATCCTCTGACACCACGCTAAGACTGAGGTCTATGTGGCTCTGGAATATATTCACACTGGCCACTCTCACACAGAACATTTCCAGAAAGAAACTTTCAGCCATGCCTGTCTTTAAGGAGTGGGCCAACAGTTTGAAGATGAGGCTGATTTTTACCTTTCTGTCCTCTTAAATGGTCCTTCCCTACAAGCATACGCCAATCTCGCAAAAGAAATGAACACAACATGTGTGAACGTCCTGAGAGTCCTCTTCAAAGCCGGAAAAACCCTCTGTATCTCCTTATCACTCTCCAGTTCCGGAAGAAAAGTCAAATTGAATTTGTATTTGACAACATTTTAAAACAATGCGTTCAATTTTGTATTTTTCTCTCCTTTTTTGGGGGCTGGGTGGGGGCGGATTTACAGCCCATACACTGGTGCTACCAAAGGCCGAGTAGACTTTCACGGGTTAGTCTGGGGAACTCACCATAATCTGTCACCATCTTTAACAGGAAAATGCATGCCAAGTTCTGAACTGGCTAATTAACATTAGACTAAGTTAAACTTTTCAATAAAATTTATCAAGTATTTTAAAATTATTTTCATTCTACTTAATGTTTGCAATGCTAAGGGACAGACGAGTTTGCATATACAGTCACATATATATGCCGATACTATCAGAAGACATGCTATGGGCTAATGCTAAATATTATACATTTCGTTGTATGTGATTTCTATCTTGTTTTATGAAACATGAAGGACCTAATGTTGAGCTGCATCATAAAAACTGAGTAAAATCTATTGAGTAAAAATAAATGACAGAGTAGCGAGAAGGGAGCTGAAGGCCATAATTTGGATAAAAATGGAATAGCAGCACTTTCTCCTCTAAGGTCAGCAATTAAAATTTAGCGAAGGTCAAGAGTGACAAAATCATCAAGAAAGACTTGACCTCCATCTAGTTGTTGCAAACAATATATTAACATTGTAAAACTGTTACAGCAGATGGCAATGCAATCATCCCTTGGTAACTCATGCCTAGCTAACCGTCTGTGACCTTGGCTAAAGGTCAGCAAAAGGCCCACCCCCAGCATCTGCAGGGAGCCGATGTGGAGGCCGAGAGCACCCAGTGTGAATTCCCTCGTGCACATGTGAAAGGTGAAAACCACCGCCAACTTCTTCATTCCTTCCTTTGTTCTAAAATTGCTAACAGCGTTGCAGGGTACCTGGCCTATTTGCATACATTCCTTATTTTTACCTCTGCCTGAGCTAAAGGGGAAAAAGGCAAAGTATGACAACATCTACCCTGCCCATTTCTCTTAACTTTGTTGGTTCGGGTTTATTTATAGCCTTTTCCTCAACTACAGCTTTAAAAGCAAATGATTCGTACCTCACTCATGTGAAGTGGATCAATGCAGATTGGATTTCTTGAAATACCACCAAAAAGCAGCTCCTCAACACCCTCCAGGGAAGAGAAGCCAAGGGAGGCTTGGAAATTTGTCACCCAGTGTAAGAACAGAGCACACATTGACAGAGAGACTGTGACCTGCCAAACACCACGTAAATATAACCAAACGTTTTCCAAACATAACGGACTGTATTCTGGTGGCGAGGACTTGGCCTCGCTTACAAGAAAGGCCTCTTTGTTTCTTTAAAGTCAGTCAAACTGCCAGTTACTTAAGGGGTAAGTTAGTGCCTCAAAGAGGCCCTGGTGGATGTGGGGAAGAGAAGGTTGCAAAATACATGCAGAACAGACACCTCGTAGGTGTGTGGTCTTCTTTATGGATGTGGTGGACCCATTTAAAGTTTCTGTGCTTCAGAGGGGCCTGGGCAGGGCAGTGTGGGTGTCAAAAGGAAAGCGAAGATAAGGCAGAAGAGTCAGCGCAGCGCTAGCAGAGAGCCAGCGGCTGCTGATGGGGGCCTGGAGAAGAAAGGGTGTTTTTCAGTCTACGTCTTTTGGATGGAGTCTGTCCGTTCACCCAGAGGCTGTGGTTTGGCTTTCTCATAGCAAGCTGTGGAGTTCAGAGAGGTAACGCCAACCATCTGACCTGCCTCTTTTTGCAACACTAAGGCTCAGAGATGAAGCCTTATCTCTTTGAATGCAATCCATATTTTCTGAGAACCCACAAGATTGATCACACTCAGCAGGCATTTCACTGCTCATGGGAAAGTCTACAGTCTCAGCCCTCAAGCCAATCCCTTATACGTTTGATTAAAGCTGACTCACAGTCTGGATTCCAGAGCCGTTCACCCACAGGCAGTGGAGGAAACCACCTACAGAAGTCCAGGAAACATGCTCAGGGTCAGGCTGGTGCCACTGGCTGGCCAGGGACCTCTGCCATCCACCTGGCTGGTGGAGCCTCTGCCGCCTTCGGGCTCTGCACCAGGCTCCTGGCTCATGCCTGGCTTCCTGACCAAGCACCTCATTTCTGGTTTCCTACCATTAGTCCGAACAAATATCCTAGACCTGGACTCACTTCTGTTCTTATGTTGACTCTGGGAACTTCCTCTCCCAGATGTCTCCTGAGAGTCTTCCTCTAGTGGGAACAGGAAGTACCCCGGGCTCTGACTTTTCCACCTGCCCCTCTTCACTTACAGCCTCTCCCTGCCCGTTGTCCTACGTTGCATAGGTCTGGTCCTGGATTCTCCCTCTGCTTCACCCCTTTGGACTGACACAGTATTTCCACAGTCTGCAAAGCTGGGAAATTAAAGATTTGCCCAGGATGGACCCCCTGTTCTCCAGGGACCGTCTCCCTCTGCCATCGCTCCCAGTCACAGGTGCTTTCAAGGTACCTTCCCATCAGCAACCTTGCTCTGTGCTAGAGACTGAGCCATTCCAACCTCAGATTATGGTCCGCTGTCTCTGTGCCCTTCCCCTTGGGCTGCTCTCAGTCTCACCTTCTAGAATTATGTTCTCAGCCCACTGCAAATCAGGGTGCAACATCCACCAGCACCTAACTCTCAGCAGTTCAACACTACCCTCCTCAAAGCTTCTCTGAGATAAAAACATCTCAGGGCAAAACGCCTTCTGGTCTCAAGGAGCTGAGATCAGTCAAGACGCAAAATCACCAATCGCTCCTTCACCTGACTCAAGGATAAGCTGAGGCAGGGCCATCTCCCTGCTGTCCTCCCTGGCTCACAAGGTAATTATGAAGACAAATGATTCAACTGAAAGCATAAATCCTGAGAAAGAGAAGGGACCAGGATTTACTGCCAGCCAAACCAAGGGCCCTGTATGGCCATCCTCCCCTGGACCAGCAGAGGCCAATGACACAGCCTCTCAAGCTAGGTCTGAGCCCGCGTTCCTCTCCAGCTCCCCCAGCACCCTGAGCCTGCCTTTGTCATTGCAAGCACCACATCATATTGTAATCATCTGCTCCAGATCGAGACAGCATCTAATTAGTTTCTGTACACCCACGGTGCCTGACATGCAGAAGGAACTTTACAAATGATGAATGAATGCATAAGTGAATGAACAAGGGGGAATGAATAAAATAAGACTTGGTTTTACACAATGGTTGAGAAGCAGCTGGAAATCCTCCATGCAAAGCAGTAATCGGAATGACTTCACGACATCAATCTTTGCCCAACGTGAAGACATCCCAGCCCTTGGGTTGCCCTCTCCCTGGGACTTGCCTGTACGGCTCCATGGTCCGAGTACCATAGAACAAGGCTTCCTCCAACAGGCCGAGGTTGATGCAGGCGTCCATGGCGCAGTCGAGCACCTTCAGCTGGTAGATGTTGATATCGGGAAGCCGCTCAGAATTGCTGCTGATGATCGCCTGGCACATGGCCAGAACCTGCTCCCACTCTGTTATTAACCTTAGTTAAGGATTCATTGTCTTCATCGAGAAAAAAACCAAAGTGAAATTAGATTCTCTAAAAGGCTGAAGAGCTCCCAAGCGCAGGAGGGAGGGAAGCACCCGTTACTTTTCACAGAGGAGCCGCCTGAAAACACACTTGAGAAACAAAAACACACAAGTGGCATCTCAGTGAAGTAAATTCTGTTTACATCAACAGACTAGCGTGTAACCAGGCCTGCGCTTTGGAGTTTTAAAACTTTCAGGCCAGGCGCGGTGGCTCACGCCTGCAATCCCAACATTTTGGGAGGTTGAGGCAGGAGGATCACGAGGTCAGGAGATCGAGACCATCCTGGCTAACACGGTGAAACCCTGTCTGTACTAAAAATACAAAAAACTAGCCGGGCATGGTGGCGGCGCCTGTAGTCCCAGCTACTCCAGAGGCTGAGGCAGGAGAATGGCGTGAACCCAGGAGGCGAAGCTTGCAGTGAGCTGAGATCACGCCACTGCACTCCAGTCTAGGCGACAGAGCAAGACTCTGTCTCAAAAACAAACAAACAAAAAAACCCGAAAACAAACAAACAAAAACTTCTAAAGACCTGTTCTTTCTTCACACTCCTAGATGTGTTCTCTTTAAATCTAGTCATAAATAAATGCAGTCCTTTATTAAATTGGACTAAAGATTAAGTTAATTCGGTTTTAAATTATTTACTCTGTTAGCTTCTGTTTAAAAACTGATTTGAAATTAAAGATGCTTTAGAGAGATTCCTTTTTCAAAAGGAAGAGCTCATGTTTGCTTCTGTGTTATCTGAGTTCTGGGCATACATGAACCCAAATACACACACAACCCACAGGCACACACTAGGTGGAGCAATGTGAAGAAATAGATTTCCACGGGATCTCATCTTTTTCGATTATAAAGCAAAAGTGACCCAAGCCTATACTTAACCAAATAATTAAAATCTGTGTTATTTTAAACCCCCAAAATAAGAGACAATATTAGGAACGTGGCTTATCACATAAATTGCTGGCAAGGGAAACGATGCTTTAAAAAGGATGGGGAGAAGACTCAATATCCACTTCTCAGTAACACTGACTTTCTGATTAACTATGAGTCAATAACAATCTCATGTAGCCTTGGAGTGACTTCACTTTTTAAAACTGATATTCCCTGTCTTAGAGGGGCAGTCAGAGGACTGAGGACATGGTTTATGGAGCATGCTTTGAATCCCTCCCCAGTGAATTCTCTGGGAAACAGAGCGAAGGCGAGAGTGTAGGACCCTGGGACCTCATAGTTTCTTCACTGTGCACTGTTAGGCGAGTCGGAGACCAAGGAGGGTCCTGAGCTGGGACTTGCCCTACTCTCACTCCTGTCCCACCTTCACCCAGTGGAACTCCAAATTCATCTGCTTTGTATGTTGTCATTCCAGTGGGAGAAAAGGTTTTGAAGATCGGAAATGGCAGCCTAGCCTTCGACTGTAGAAAAGCTAGATTCAGATCTAATCTAGTCCTGTCATTTATCAGACTTGAGGTTCTGAGAAAGTCAGAGTGCTTAATGATACACCAGAAATAAAAATGACTAATGTCAATGTAAGAAAGAGTAATATACTGTATGTAAAATGACGCAATTTGTCATGTGTCCTCTCATGAGCCTGGTGGAGTGCTGGGTGTCACAGACACAGTGGGGAACATTTCGTGGCATGCACAAGGCACACACGACACAAGCATTAGTGCCTTCCACCTTCCCTCTGTGACGTGACCTCTGAGCCTGACTGGGCTTAAAGAAAGTGGTTCAGTGGACTGACTTTAACTGAACTTCCCTTCATGCCCCCACACCCCTCCCACTCCCACATGACCTGGTCTCTTTACAATCCATGCTTTCTGTGCCATCCCCGGCCCCTAATTCAAAACCCTCTTCATGGAGGTCCTAACAGAGCATGCCCAGCCCTGAACAGCCAACCCACTGTGTATGCTCCCCTCTCTGTCCAGCAAAACCTTCGTCTTTGAGTGTCCATGCCCTTCTCAGAACATGGTTTTCCAAAACATTAGCAAATACTTCTAATAAACCAATCAAGCCATTCCTGACAGTGGAGACAAATACCTTTATGAACTTTCACAGGAAATATATTTTCTTTCCAGCAAAGGCTTCCCAGAGGCCCAATATCTTACTCCAAAAGATGAGTTCCTTGATGAGAATTTAAAGCACCACAATGCACAGCTGAGAGCATTTTCTGTCACACCCACTGCAATTTTAGGATGAGTCCTGTCTTGGAGGAATTGACCCTGATCCTAAAAAAGGTCCACTTCCTGAAGAAAAGTGAGTCCTTGATTTGCTTTGGCATTCATCTGACATGTATGTTCAAAGTTTGCTGAATGTATCCTCTAGAGGTTGGGGGAAGCAGTATCTTAGGCAATGCACTGATTTTGTAACAGATTGCTGGGCTAACCTCTGTGGCTTTTCATTCCAGGATTAGAGATTTGACGAATTATCAGGAGGAATGACTGTCTCTTACACAATGCTAGACATTTCTGTGGCAAGACTTGTACCTTATTTTAACATTGTGCTGTTTGACCTCCACGATTATTTGCCTGTTCATTTATGTATGTTCCCACTTATTCTAAAGAGGTTTGAGGTGACAGGCCTTAGAAGTAAAAGCCAGATGTGATGTTCTGCAGCCACTCATAGGAATGCATCTACTTTATCCCCCAGCAAGCTGGAAGGGACTACGTGCCAATTTTCCTTCGCAACACTGGCAACTGTCTCTTGGCAAACAAGGCAAAACCTTTCCTGCAAAGCACCCCAGTGAGCAAAAAAATGGAATAATTTTAACTAAGAGGCTTTTCCCCCAAGTTACTACTGACATGTATTTGCTCAAAGATTTAGTCCCTGGCATCTGTGTGGTGTTTATTACAAGTGACTCTGTTCCAGTAAGGAGCTGAGCTCTAGACCTAGCAGGGCTGGATAGCCTACCCAAAGAGAACAGATTCTTAATGGACAGAACAGATACCCTTTTTTCCTGAATACTTTTAAATGACCATAAGAGGATCAGAGGAAAAGAGAAAGAGAAGCACAGTAAATTCACTTGGGAATTACTCAACTCATTGAGATTCAGACTGTCAGTCCACAGAGTCTGTATCCACTTGATCATATTACTCTACTGCTTAAAAAATCATTGCACGGCCCCCTCTCACCTATGAAGTCTAATCTGTGCATGGCAGTTAAGGCCGTGCCACCTTCCCCTCCTCTCATACTGCACAGTCGGCAGCTTCGCAGCAGCAGTGCATGTTCTGTGCATCTGAACACGTCATCCCTTGTGTTGGACGCCTCTTCTCTTGGTTGGCCTGGTGAACTCCCACTAATCCTCCCAGACGCAGCTCACTGGTCACCTCCTCTGTGAAATCTTTTAACTTCCCAGAGTTGACTATTGTGTCTTTGACGCCGCTGTAAGTCTAGATCTTTACCAAAATATGTATTAATGGACATTTTACTACCCCGCTATGCAGGAGAGTAGTGAATGCAGGGCTGTGTTTTCTAACTTCTGTCTGAACCATCAGGTGAATGATGACCGGCAAGGTACTCAGCATACAGTCCGTTTTCAGTAAAACCTTGTACGGTTGAAACTGAACTCTGGCTGGGTTATCCGGGGGCCCCAATACCATGGCCAGGGCCCAAACAGAACGAGTGTACTCCTCTGCGCATAAAAAGCTCTTTGAGCCCATGAACAGGGGCCTCCTGTTCCAGAGTGGACTGTTTTCCCAGTATCTTCTATCTCATCATAGACAGGGCTTCAAATCCCTCCTTAATTTCAGTTCCACCCCTCAAAACCAGTTGTTTTAATACTTCCTACCTCAAACTGAATAGAAAATTCTAGAAATAATCGGACCAATACTATCACCTTCTAATCAATATTAATGCAGCCCAAGATCACAGTAGTAAGATGATATTATACTCTTAAGTGTTGTTAAATTTTGCTGTTTACTAAAGCCCTAATTTATTTTCACATGCTCTTATGCATATTTACATATTTGAACTTTTTGATCCAAATAGAAATTGTATATATGTTCTTGTTATATTTCATCTCTTTAAAACTTGGACACCATTTAAACATTTAGGGATCTTTTGAAGCCTTTTTTTCTTTTGAGATACAGATTCTATCATCCTCCCTCTATTATCCTCCCCATCTACGTCACTTTGGAGATTTCAGAAACCTGTCCTCAGTATCTTTGTTCAAGGTATGGAATTATGAATTAAAGAGGACCGAGATGGAACAACAACACTCCAGAATGACACTGAATCGTTTAACATCATTTTTTCAGTGTAGCTATTCAGTTAGTTTTGCTAACATCTAACGTAAGTTTCTTGACTACTTTTCGTCAAATCCCTTTCTGAAGTCTCCATACAAACGTTACCACTCTCTCTGGATTCACTCGCTCTTGGAGAAACCCTGCAGCATCATGATGATCACTGCTTTCTTTTCCATTCCTTAGTAACCAGTCCGAGATTCTCTGCCAAGACTGCTAATCAGCTCAGAGGGCTATCAATTCAAAATTATGTCCTTCACCTTTACAACTGGAAGCCTCCCTCTACCTCCCTCTCTAGCTCTCTACAACTCTTTAAATAGCATTGTCAGCAAATTGGAAACGTTCTTAGTGCCTGGGATGTAATTTACCCCAAAGTCTCTGAATGACCTTTTGCAGTCTTTTCATCCACCTTGATCTCTTCCTTCGTGCCTGCTGTCTCCCTTCATCGCAGCTTTGCTCCAGTGAACTCCTCTACCAGCAGCGGCCTCCCTCTCAGCCTCGGCCTATCCAAATCCTGCCCCGACTCAGGCTATCTTTTGCACCGTAAAACATCCGTGGAGCCTTCCCCATTGACCTTTATCCTACGTGATCTCTCCTTACTCTGAACTTTGGCCCACCTGTGGTCATTACTATTCACGCCGAGAAAATGTGTCGTGCAGCAAATCCCCGCTGCCACTGTAGTCATGCCTGGTTTAATACGAAGCTTCTGGGTCTGAGGGTCAATGGCACTGAATGACAAGGATTCTGAGCTATTCTTTCCTGGAGATGTCAGTGGTTATGGGAGAAGATAATTGAGGAATTTGTCACCTTTTACACGTAAAGAGACTAATACTTACTTTCCTACTACTATTGGGCCATGAGTGTTGATTATTACCTAAAGGTAGTGAGTTATTATTCATGCTGATCTTGCCACGATCTTCCTTGTCATTACTCAAACCGCTGACCGGGGTTGGGGGTGCGGCCTGTGACCATGGAACAGAGTGAAAACCACTGGCTCATGGAGAGGTCAAACCCTGCCTTTGGCCTCATTACCACAGGGCTTCAAGGAAACAAGAAAACAAGAAAACAATCCCAACAGTCCAGCTCAACCCACAGGCGAAAGGATACTCCAGTGTGCCTTCAGTTCTTCAATTTTTTTCAGGGATTCTTGAACTTCCTTCCATACTTGCTCATCACCAGTTAGCATATCAGCATCCTGCTCAGGCCAGAAAAGGAAGACAAATAACCCAATTAGTAATAAGCAAAGGACCTGAATAGACCTTTCTCCCAGATATACAAAAGGCCTGCAAGGCCATGAAAAGATGCTTGACATCATTTATCATCAGGGAAATATAAAGCAAAGCCACAGTGAGATATTACTTGATACCCACTACCACAGCTATAGTCAAAAAGACAGGATAACGGCAAAGGCTGGTGAAGACGTGGAGAAACGGATACCCTCACACACTGCTCATGAGAATGCAAAATGGTAGCTTTGGAAAACACTCTGGAAGTTCCTCAAAGGGTTCAACGTAGAGTTTTCATATTACCAATTAGAGTTACCATATTAACAATCCTACTCCTGGGTGTCTACCCAAGAGAAATGAACACATATGTTCAACAAAACTTGTTCACAAATATTCATAGCAGCGTTGTTTATAATAGGCAAAAAAATGCAAACAACTCACAGGTCTATCAACTAACATGGTATATATCCAGACAATGGACTATGATTCTACAATCAAGTACCGACACATGCTACAACATGGATGAACCTTGACTACGTTACGCTAAGCGAGAAGCCAATCACAAAGACCACACGTATGACTCCATGGATATGACACGTCCAGAAGAGGCAAATCCACAGAGACAGACAGTCGATCAGTGGTTGTCTAGGGCTGAGAGGACTGGAGGGAACTGGAGAGTCACTGCTAATGGGTAGGGGTTTCTCCGGGGGTGATAAAAATGCTCTAAGATGGACACCATGGTAGCTGCACAACACTAAAGAGACTGAAAACCACTGAACTGTACACTTTAACTGGGCGAATTTCATCACACGTCAATTATACCTCAATAAAGCTGATATTTTTAAAAAACAGAAGGGGAATAGGATAAATAGTTATTTGTTAGGAGACCTACAGCTAAAACCTTACTAAGAATAAAATACAGCTACACCCATGTGAAGCAATTCTGACTCTTCCACCTAAACACAAAACCCCCAACACTGAAAAAATGCAGAAGAACATAAAATTATGAGCTACCACGTACGAAATGTCTGCCCTCCTATTTAGTAAGCAGGTCTTCTGTTTTCCGTTGGCCAGTGTACCTCTGGCATCTAGCACAGTGCCTGGCACATAATAGTTGCTTAATCAGCACTTGTTGAATGAATGACTGAAAACCACATGTGCACACAATGCTGAAGGCTTTACTGATATTGTCTTATCTTCACACAGTTCTTTTATGTAAGATCATATCCTATGGGGTAACACAGGCAGGGAGTGGGAGAAGTCTACCCTGGGTCAGGCAATGACTATTGTCTACAGAATACTGAAAAATAATAATAAAACCAACGAAAAGTACGTCTGATGTTTACTACGTGCAACAACTCAGAGGTGAAATATTCTTCCCCCCAGGTCAGAGGGTGCCTAACATCTTTCTCCCTAATATATCACTGATCCTACCCAGTTTATAGATGGCAAAACTGAGACTCAGTTAAGTGATTTTCCTGAAAATCACCAGCTTGGAACCAAAATTTCAACCCAGGTCTGTCTGATTCCAAAAGGCTATCTTCTTGGCAAATGTTACTCTGTTTACCACAGATGCTGCTATGGTCTTTTCAGCATGCTCAGCAAGTCCTGCTTCTTTAAAGTTTCACTAATAGGTAGCCACCAGCCAGGTGTGGCTATTTCAATTTCAATTAATTAAAACAATAAAAAACTCAGTTCCTCAGCTGCAGCAGCCACATTCCAAGAAGCTAACAGCCACATGTGGCTTTGGCTACCACACTGAACAATCGAGATACAGAACAGTTCACTATGTCACTGCAGAAAGTCCTGTGGGACGTGCTGCTTTCAGGTGGCTCGTCAGAGGGTAAGCACTCTTATAAGACACTATTCAAAACTAGGTGTTCAATATCCATGAGACTTTCAACAGGTGTCAGGGACAAGAACCATCCTAGGAGGTTATATGAAAGCAGGGCCAGCGTGGGGGTGACATAAGGGTGAGGAAGGAGGGACTTTCTCATACTCTAGACATCTCCCTGGAGACTCTTACGTGCCCGTTGAAGGAGGCTTATACAACGACCCCATGAGAGCCACTGCCAGAGTCAGCCTGTGTTTCTGGGAAGAAGAAACATCACTTAAGTGCGCGGGGGCAGAAAAAAAGGCTGGAGGGCACTACGAGCCACGGAAAACAGATCCTGAGACTCTCCTTCGCAGGCTGAGGCAGTGGGTGTGTGGATGAGGAGAGGGGAGCACTTCTGTCTGTGTAATTCGGCTTTGCGGGCCTCTGTGTGTACGTGCTGTGCCTATGTGTGATATAGTAGAATGGTTTTTAAAAGGACACCATAGGTGCACTTTTTTTTTTTTTAAGGAAATTCTAAATACATCCCTAGGTTTCTGTACACAGAGGACGGAGGAGATAAAATGCTCTTAAGACGGTAAACAACAGGCTAGGTGTGGTGGCTCATGCCTGTAATCCCAGCACTTTGGGAGGCTGAGACAGGAGGATCACCTGAGGTCAGGTGTTTGAGACCAGCCTGGCCAACATGACAAAACCTCATCTCTACTAAAAATACAAAAACTAGCTGGGTCTGGTGGTACGTGCCTGTAATCCCAGCTACCTGGAAGGCTGAGGCAGGAGAATTGCTCAAACCTGGGAGGCGGAGGTTGCAGTGAGCCGAGACCATGCCACTGCACTCCAGCCTGGACAACAGAGCAAGACTCCGCCTCCAGAAAAAAAAAAGAAGAAGGTAAAACAACAGTCTCCCTCCGAATGCCTGCTCTAAGTCCATTGTCATCTCCTAAAAATCACCTCAGTCTCCTGTTCCAAAGCCTTCAGCAACTTCCCACAGCCTCCCAGATCAAGCTTACCCGTTAGATCTTGGCCGTCGTGGCCATTCCTGAGTGAATATTCCAGTTTTACATTTCACAACTGGCAGCTTAAACCCTAGACCTAAGCTTGCTAGTCTCTATGGTAAGCAGAATAATGGACCCCCAAAGATGTCCACGTCCTGCTCTCCAAAACCTCTGAATATGTTCGGTCACACTGCAAAGGGGAACTGAGTTGTAGACGGGATTAAGGTTGCTCATCAGCTGACCTTAAAATAGCTGAGAGTTCCCTGGACTTGCCCGGTGGGTCCAGTCTAATTACAAGGGTCCTTAGAAGTAGAAGAGGGAGGCAAACGAGGAGGTCGGGGGATGTGCTGTGTAACCAGAGGCTGGCAAAGGCAAGGAATCCAGTCCCCTGGAGCTTCCAGAAAGGACAACAGCTTTGCCCACACCTTGATTTTGGCCCACTGAGACTTGGGTCAGGCTTCCAGCCTACAGAACTCTAAAATAATCAATCGGAGCTGTTTTAAGATGCTGTATTTATGATCAATTGTTGCAGCAGCTATAGAAAATGTGGTCCCTGGCCAGGCGCGGTGGCTCAAACCTGTAATCCCAGCACTTTGGGAGGCCGAGACGGGCGGATCATGAGGTCAGGAGATCGAGACCATCCTGGCTAACACGGTGAAACCCGGTCTCTACTAAAAATACAAAAAATTAGCCGGGCAAGGTGGCGGGCGCCTGTAGTCCCAGCTACTCGGGAGGCTGAGGCAGGAGAATGGCGTGAACCCGGGAGGCGGAGCTTGCAGTGAGCTGAGATCCGGCCACTGCACTGCAGCCTGGGTGACAGAGCAAGACTCTGTCTCAAAAAAAAAAAAAAAAAAGAAAATGTGGTCCCTAACATACCTTCCGCTCTTCTGGCCACTGGGGCTGTTTGTGCCTGGCCCTCTCTGTACCTGAAATTAGTCAGTCAGATCACTCATTTATTCCATTAACACTTACTGAGTACCTAACCAGGCAGTGTTCTAGGCAGTAGGGATAGAGCAGTACATAAATCAGATAATCATCATGTTCACACTGAAGAGGCAGGTGGAACACACAGTAAGAGAAGATACACACCTGCGCGCACACACACGCACACACACACATTTTGTTGGGGGAAAAACAGGGAAGAGGCATGGGGAATATTGGCACCAGGGAGTTCATTTTAAACAGGACGATTGGGGCAGGTCTCACTAAGATGGTATTTGAGTAAAGCTCTAAAGGAGGTGGAGGTGTAGGAGACAGGAGTTCCACGGAGCAGGGAGGGCAAGTGCAGAGGCAGAAGAATGCCTGAATATTCCAGGAACAATAGAGGCCAGTGTGGCCAGAGTTTGTGGACTGCAGTGTGTGTGCATGTCCTGTCTTCCCCACTTAATTGTCAACTCTTTAGAGCTGAATATAGGTCTTCTTCTTCTTTGATCCGGCCTCTCCCAAATATCCAGCACGTAACAAACGCTCTGCTGAATGTCTCTAGAATGGATCTGGAAGAAGTGAACTAACTTGGTAATGATTTGATGTCTCGGTGTTTATTTCAGTTATTCCTCACTACATCTTTGAAAGGCATCAATACCTGTAATTTACAAATGAGGTGCAAGATAGTCCTGAAGGTTACATAATTGGTCCAAATGTCCTTCTACCCCTGATTACCAGAGGTAGGATTCAAACCCAGGTCTGGCTGGCTCCAGTGCCCATTCTCTTTCTACTACCTTCATGCTTAAATTTTGTTTGTTTCTCTCCTGGACTTGCTTAAAAGGTGAAACTCACGTCTGAGTTAATACATTCAAAGTATCTTCACCCATGTTTCCTAAGCTCTTCCTAGTACTAGTACTTTAAAGAGGAGAGTAAAATCCTCCAACATAGAACCCACAGCAGATCTCGTATTCTTCTGTCAAGCAGGGTGAGACGGCAGCCCAGGGCAGAACAATTTCATATGGGAATTATAGTCTCAACTACATTTGCCACCAGTGAACATAATCTGATTAGCTGTTCTTTCAGGTTGACCCTAAGCCTTTATTTGCTTAACAGAAGAGCAAGCAGGCTTTGAAACTGCTCCTAAACATTTAGAAATGATACCTCTGAGAGCATTTTACCCTGGAGCTAGACAAAGTCACATTCACGAACAGCTATC